AGAGAACCCCTTCTTGCACGGTACCTCGAGGCCGACATTTATAAACGCCATATCATGATCAGACCACGGAATGGGACAGATAGCGGCCGAGGACACCTGAGGAAGTGTTGCGGTGTGTAAAAGAATATGATCAATGCGAGAAAAGACGTTATGGGGATTGAAATAAAATGTGAATTGCTCCTTAAGCGGATGAAGCTCCCTCCATGAGTCTACCAGGTGATATTGAGTCAGGAAGGATCTGAATCTTTTTGCCGTAGTTAAGTCAGAGGGGGGGGGGTTGCCGGGTGGGCAGGGTCATGACGATCCACATGAGGGTGCATCACCAGGTTGGAGTCCCCACATAATAACAAAGTCCCCCTAGTGTGAGTATCAATAGTCTGAAACAAGTGTGAGAAGAAGCCCAGTTGACCAGTATTGGGGGCATAGTAGGATACCACTGTAACCGGGGAGTCATGGATTGAGCCCACCAAAATCAAATACCTGCCCTCCGGATCCCTGATCTTCTTCAGAGTGACAAAAGGTGTGTTGCGACCAAATGCTATCAGGACTCCTCGATGTTTCGTAGGTGCAGAGGCTAAAAAGAATAAAGGATAATTAGCATGTAGAAATGAGGGAGCAAATGATTGAGTAAAGTGGGTCTCTTGAAGACAAACAATATCTGCTCTAATTTGCTGAAAATGCCTAAAGGCTTTAGATCTTTTGACAGGTTGGTTAAATCCTTTAACATTGAGGGATATCACTTTAATTGCCATTAGAGCAGGGGCACTTGAAAAGGTTGAAAGGGAAGGAGGGAAAGGAGACAGAAGAGGGATAGAGGAAAGTGTTGGAGGGATGTAGAGGAAGGGAATGGGAGGATGGGGAGAGAGTCAAAGAACCAAACAGTGGGAACACCTAGGTCACAGTGCCTATCTTCTGAGTCAATCAGGATAGGTGTCGTTCACTCATCCAGGACCTGGATAAACACCAAGTCCAAGATAGTGAAGGCGGCGCTCCGAGCGGGGTCATCTGGCAGTCTCCGGGTCCTAATTTAGGTGGCCCAACGGAGCAGCAGTGACGTAACGCGACGCTCGGCGAGGTAAGTAAGAAGAAAATAAAAAAAATCCTGCAGCGCCAGTACAGCAGGGGAGCAGGGATGTGTCAGCGCCACGCTGGTCAGACGAGAGGAGCTCCAGGTGGGGTTGTAATTATCGGGCAGGCACCTCTAAGCCAGCTAAATTAGGACCCCACCTGGAGCTCCTCCCACTGGACCAGCGCGCCGCTGACTCGTCCCTGCTCCGGCACAGTGAATCACAGTAAGTGAGGGGAGATTTGGGGGGATTTATTACGGTAACCAATTATGTATTGTCTGCACTGTATTAGCAGTATATACTCTATATGGAGTATATACTGCTAATACAGTGCAGACAATACATTTACAATTACAATTGAATGGATTAAATGATCTGTATGTAGCCCTGTACTATGGATCATTTAACCCATCCATGTTAGCAGAGGATCATTGTAAATGTATTGTTGCAGGCACTCTATATGTACATGTACTATATACTACATATAGAGTGCACTGAACAATAGATTTACAATTATCCTCTGCTAATATGAATGGGTTAAATGATCCGTAGTACATGATATGTAGCCCTGTACCCCCTTTTCCACTTACAGAGCTAGGTTATTTTTCTTTTAAATAAATATTAATGTAATTTTATTGGTATCTACCTACCAGTAGCTGCCTCATTTCCCACCCTCGGCTTATATTCGGGTCAATACTTTTTCCCAGTTTTTTTTGGTAAAATTAGGTACCTCGGCTTATATTCGGGACGGCTTATACTCGAGTATATACGGTAAATATAATTTGAATGTGTTTTTACAAAAAAATACTGCTAATATTGCATGACATAAGAAATGCAACTGCCAGCATTTTCTTGTACAGGATCTCGGTTTCAGAAAATATATATTGTTGTGGGGGTTTAGGTAACCTTTTCAAGCCTAAAATGTGCATTTTAACCACTTGCTGTCCAGAGCAAATTCTTACATTTGCGCAGACATGATAAAATCTGATTTGTTTGCTAGAAAACAGCTTCAGACCCCCAAACAGTTATATATTTTCTGAAAGCAAGGGCCCTATATAGTATTTGCGCAAATGTTTATCAAACCAGTATTTTTAGGATAAAATACACTAAAATGAAATTTAGTGCACAGAAACAGAATATAATACCCAATTTTTTTGGTAAAAAATTAAAGATGGGGGTCACGCCGGGTAAATAGATACCAAACTTATCAAGCCTTAAAATTGCGTGCATCCGTGAAACCGCAAAAAAATATTCCCATAGGCGACGCTTTAAACGCTTTTACGGCTCATCAGTTTAGTGTTAACAGTGATTGATGGGCCTAGAATTATTGCTCTCACTCCGACGCTTGCGACAATATGTAACATGTGTGTCGCAATTTTCGCAAGTAGGCGCATCCAAGGCTTGTTTACGCTGTATGTGCGTGCACGTGGTGGGGCGGGGGACTTTAAAACATTTTTTTGCATTTTTTATTATCTCTTACTTTAATTTTTACAATTTTTATTTTGTTTTTTTACACTCAGCATTATTCTGCTTCACCAGCTTCTTCTGGCTCTAGCAGCCGGAAAATGTGCCCAGTGACACCGGCAGTGATGTAATGGAAGCCGCTAATCTCTCCGATCCATCAGGGGAGACCCACCGACCTTATAACACTAACAAGTCACATGACACCGAGGAGGGAAAATGGCTAATTGGGCCAAATTTGGAAATTTTCACTTAGGGGTGTACTCACTTTTGTTGCCAGCGGTTTAGACATTAATGGCTGTGTGTTGAGTTATTTTGAGGGGACAGCAAATGTACACTGATATACAAGCTGTACACTCACTACTTTACATTGTAGCAAAGTGTAATTTCTTCTGTGTCGTCACATGAAATGATATAATAAAATATGTACAAAAATGTGAGGGGTGTACTCACTTCTGTGAGATACTGTATATATAAATAACTCATTCTGAATGATGATTAAAAAAAAACTTTCAAAACACTCTCTGTTGCCCAACAACTAGCTATGCCAAAGCTCTCCCACACTGCACATAGAACCTAGTTCATCATTATCATGATGTTATCATTATGTTTTCACGGTTTTAAATGTCTGCCCAGGGGTGTACATCATAAATGCCTTGCTAATTTAAGAAATGTCTGTTATTAAATGTGCATTTATGTAATAAAATAATATTACAAAGCTGAAATTCCAGCAGTAATAATGGGGGATCATTTGCACCTATGGTGTTTAAATGGCAGATACATTACCTCATCAACAGGCCTACTGAGAAAATATCACTTTTGGCCCAAATAGCTGAAGGACTGTTGCTCAACTGCACTCTAAAACCTAAAAGTTCTCCCTAAACACCAAGCCTAAGAAAAGTTCTAATCAGTTTTAGGGATGCATGACATACAAATCAATATTTTTTCTACTTAACAGTTAAGCAATCATCTTTAGTGGTGTTTGTCTAAGCTAGTTCTAGGTGGCTTAGTGCTTCTTTGAGGGCTTGTTCACAACATCCAATGTTTTCACGCCATGGTTTTGTGCCATGAATGCACTGGATTGCATAAACATAGATTGTGCCTTTTTAGTTTAGGGTGCTCCAACTACAACATTGGCTATCTGTTCTTGGAGCTGCCTTTAGTTCACAGCACACTGCTGCATCACTTGAAAAAAAAGGTGCATTCACTGTACTCCCCTATCCCTATAGATACAGTATAATAAAAGTTAGGCTTGAACCAGTTAGGTCTAATAGCCCTGGCAGTATAATAAATGTTAGGCTTACACCAGTTAGGTCTATTAGCCCTGGTTAAAACTGTCCTGCTGCTGGCCATTTTTACACTGCTGTATCCTCTGCAGTTTCTTAATTCTTGATGTAAACACCTGCCTGTGGTCTTGTCTCTTGACTCTTTAAATGTCCCTGCTACTGGTAGATTATACACTGCTGGGTCAATTGCAGTCTCCTAATTCTTGTACTTAAACAACTTTCTGTACTCTGTACATTTCAGCGAATTCTCCTTCATTAAGTGTCATCCTGCTGCCCAACTGTACAGTGCTGCATCATCTGCATTTTTTAAGTTCTTATTAACAGTTTGATATAAATTGGCCAGTGGCCGGTCAGTTTTGCTTCAGAGAGAAGAGAACTAGCCAAGTAGTAGTGAACTAATGGCCAATTTCTATCTGACAGTCAAAGCAGGCCCATTACTGTTTGATGGAAAAGCTGCTACTAAAACGACCTGAAAAAGCATTTTTTTCCTAAACTAAAAGTGACACTAAACTCAGGAGTTAAATCTTAAAAATGCATTCAAGTATCTTAACTATTAGCAAAAAATAGCGTGTTGCTGCATTATTTAGCTGTATATCCTTAACTCATCTCTGAACTTGTGCTGACATTGTTCTTCCTTCTGGAGGGTGGCTACGTCTGTTTCCTATGGTCCCTGTTTGTGATGTAAAGTACACTACAATCTCACATTTAGTTTACTAATATGTATTGAGATTGTAGTCCGTCACGGAAGTAAGCATGGAGTGGTAGCTACCTCACAACACACACAGGGACCTTGGGGAAAAAAATAGCCGCCCTGCAGAAGGAAGGACAGTGTCCGCAGGAATTCAGAAATGATTTGAGGATCTACAGCCGAGTGACACAAATAAGCTATATTTTTATTAATAGTTGAGGTTGAATGCATTTTAAACATTTGACCCCTTAGTTTAGTATCACTTTAAATAAATCAGATAGAGGTAGAAAAGAAAAAAAAATTACACAGGCAAATATGTGCTTAAAAAATGAGTGGCTGGATTTTATTTTGGTATTTTTCTGCTGGTTGCAAATACACATTTGTTCAAAAGGTCTACATCAAAGATTTGCCAACCACGCATTTGAGGTTTTTTATATACTTTCTTCATATATATATATAATCCATGACAAAAAGTAAAAAAATGGCATCATAACTTACCAATAACATAACAAGTCATCCAAGTTCCTTTTCCAAAGATGCCTTGTAGGAAGCGAAAAAAGACAAAAACATAAAAGTTTGGTGCAAATGCTGCACCAATTCCAGATAATCCTACTCCAAAGGAAGATATCAGGTATATAACTTTTCTTCCATATCTGTTAAAGTAAACAATATGAAAAGATGTAAACAGCTGATTTAAAGCCAACAAATCATGCAAGTATCCATTAGATATGTGTATTAGAAAGTGCATCTCCAACCAGTTTTTGTTATTTTCGGATATAATAGGGAAGGATTAGAATCTCTGTTGGGTTTTTACTGCTATCTGGAGATCCATTACAAAGTTTCTCCTCACTACCTAACTTAGTGACAAAGGCTTCACTAGACAGTAAATCTAGGGTTAATCTCCAACATCAACATAAAAGCAAACGTTTTGCATTTGTAGAGTGGAAGAAGGCTAAAATCCACATAAGATTTTTATTGCCATGTGTGTCCCTGTTGCATATTTTTTCCTGCCTTGCTAAATAGTAAAAACCATTGTCACCTTTCCCTAATCCTTTTTGCTAGACATACTCTTTAACTTAACAATTGCAAAACTAAACACATACAATCTAAAATGCTAAACTGCTACAAAATTAATCTACACAGTGGCTATACTGTCCATAACCAACACAGAGTTATAAAAGAAAGCCACGTACACTACATCATTTATAATATTTAAATTAATTCCCCCACTTTTAGAAAGTGGGACACCCTTCCTCATTTCATAGAAATGCCAAAATAACCATGCAGCCAAGTATGGTACACTAGGAGTTCATTAGAACACCACCTATACCTATTGCTGCACATTATTAGTTACTTGTAGAAAAAAAAAGTCACAACCCCCTTTTAATACATCCCTGGACAAATTTATTGTCAACCACAAACTTGCAAATTAAAGTCTGTACCCTTGGTTATAAAGCCATTCTCTTGGTACCACATATTTAGTTTTATATACTTCCACCACTTTGTTTCACTATTCTGAATATGACCGCTCAGTGTGATTATTTTGATTATAATAATTTTAGAATTATTATCATAGAATTATATTATTGTGTGCTAAAGTTAGGGATGCATCGATAACTATACTAGTATTGGTAATGGTGCAGATGCCAAGTATATGGGCGAGTATTTGTACTTACCAAAATGCTCCGATACTTACCTCCGATACCGGAACTTCCAGTCAGAGGGAGATCTCCCTCTGATGGGGAATTGCCGAGGGAGGATGGAGGCGGTTACCTTTCTGATCAGGAAAGAACCCGCCTTCCTGTTTGGTCAGAAAGCCAGGCTGCCTAGCAACAAGTGAACCTGGCTTCCTAGCCAATCAGGAAGCTGGAAATGATGTGCACCCAGCTTCCTGATTGGTTAGGAAGCCAGACAGCCTCGGGAAGTCAAGCCGGTGTTCTTTCAATAGAACATTGGCTTCCCAGGCAATCAGGAAACCACCGTCCGGCTTCCTGATAATTCGTACTCGATACCGAAAAACCGGTATCGGTGCATCCCTGGTTAAAGTGAAACTTACCTCACCACTTCTTGCTCCCATGCAGATATCTTCCCCCTAATGCCGAGTCTTGATTGGCACCTATCCTCGTGCTGTCTTGATTGGCCAGCAGGGAATTAATGAAGTCCAACACCTGAGTATGGGATCACATTCATCGTGGCACAGAGGTGTGCCGGGAATGTACACTGAGTTGCACAGGTAAGTTTCTTATACTGCAGAAGAGACATGGCATGTTTCTTCTGCAATAAAGTGCATGCTTCCTCACAATTTGTCCACTTTAAAGTTTTGCCTCCATGTATACTTCGATTAAACTAATATACAAGGTGCCAACTACAAGTCCTTTGTGCAAACAACTTCTGAAAAACTGTAGAACTGACGCACGCACGCATACAGACATGCACACTCACCGATCAGCAATAACATTATGACCACCTGTCTAATATTAAGTAGGTCCCCTTTTTCCACCAACATAGCCTTGACCCATTGATGCGTGGACTCCACTAGACCTCTGAAGGTATGCTGTAGTATCTGGTACCAAGCCATCAGTAGCAGATCCTGTTAGCCCTGTAAGTTGTGAAGTGGGGCCTCCATGGATAAGGCTTGTTTTTCCAACACATCTCACAGATTTTAGATTGGATTGAAATCTGCAGAATTTGGAGGCCAAGTCAACACCTTGAACTAGTAATTGTGTTCCTCAAACCACTCTTGAACTGTTTTTGCAGTGTTGCAGTGAGGCAGGGAGAATTATCCTGCTGAAAGAGGCCACTCACATGCACCCAGCCATTCACATGATGTAAAAGAAAGCATCATTCATCAGAGCAGGCCACCTTCTTCCACTGCTCTGTGGTTCAGTTCTGGACATGGGTCAGCATGGGAGTGTGCGGCTACACACCTATACTGGTCTTTATTGGACCTGACTACACAGGCCAGTCTTCCCACCGCGCATGCATCAATGAGCCGCCCATGACTGTCACTGGTTCACCAGCTTTCCTTTCATGGACTTTTGGTAGTTTGTGACCACTGCAGATCAGGAACATCCCACAAGATCTGAACTTTTGGTGTTGCTCTGACCCAATCATCTAGCCATCACATTTTGTCCCTTACCAAAGTCGCTCAAATTCTTATGCTTGCCCATTCTATTCTGCTTTCAACACATCAATTTGAGGGACAAAATGTTCACTTGCTGCCTAATAGACCCCAACCACTTTCAAGTGCCACTGTAACGAGATACGAAATGTTATTCACTTCACCTTTTCATGGTCCTAAGGTTATGGCTGATCTATATATGTATACATTTTCATGCGCATATTGCAATAGAATCTTGTAACTTTGTACCCCTTATGCACCACAGAAATGTTTACATTTCCATTATGGGCCTGTTTATTTGGCAATAACATTGTCATTATTTCTGATAAGGTAATGAACACAAAGGGTAATGGGGTTTTCCTATAGCAACATGGTCTTGGAATACTTATTAAATTTTTTTGATATAATCTATAGACAAAAACATAAACATTTTTTTTTTTAAATTATACTTTACTGTAAATGGAAATATGCATTTTCTGTAATGTGTACCTTCCAAAATGACACTATAATAATGTTTCTGGTACAAAACATGTCAAAGTTATTTGCAAATGCATATTTTAATGTGACATTGAAAAAATGAATAAGACTGAAATAAAACATGGATTTTTGTACTTACCATAAAACCTTAAAGCACATTAAGGTACACAGAAGTCAGATATTCTAACATGATTGGATTATACTAATCTAATTTAACTACAGAAGAATCTAGACACTGGCAAACAAAAAAGCCCATAGCCAGACAGGTATGCCCCTTCCATTCACAGCATGCATCGGTTTTGTAGAAAAGCAGTACTGAGCAGTAGTTTACAACACAGAGGGGTGTGGCATGTGTGCCTTAATAAACTTCAAGCAATTGATACAAAAAAACGGTTTTCCTTATTCATTTTTTTGTTTATTTTATTAAGGGTTCAATTATTGTTATAGGACTGGGACACCCAACAGTGATCCAACTAGGGGGTGGGGCAGCACATCAAACTAAAACGCTAACAGGCAACAGGCACACATAACAGTGAGAGTAATACTGGGTGCTGTGCCATGTCTCTGGACCTGGAAAGCACTGTGACTAAATAACACAGTACCCAAAGGTCTGGGAAGCACCGCAGGCAGAGCCCAGTGCCCAATGGACACATAACAGACAAGTCCCATAATCTAGACAAGCCCCACAATCTTCAGGCCAGCAGTGTCTGGGTATGGCCTCTAAGGCATCGCTAAGGTTAAGCTGATCTGGATAACTGCATAGAGAGCCCAGAACAGCAGCAGGATAAAAAAATTTAAGAAAAAAAGGGCTAGTAAAAAGGGGTCAACTTTTATCAATGGAGAAAAGATGTCCATCCTCCTAGGACGCTAGCAAAAAAGAGGGGGGGGGGGTACA